AAGATCTTTGGGCAACATTACGTGTTCCTGTTCGCTAGTGCTGCTCTGTTAACGGGAAGGTGGTAACCTGAGAAGGGGTCTGGCCGTACACCTTAAACGTACACAGTGTTGCATGTCAATCATCTGTCAATAAAGCTGGGGGAAAGGAAGTTATGTAATGACCCCTTTCCTCCCCAAAATAAAACAAAATAAGTGGTCTAGGTGTATGGGCCAAATGAATGGCTAGGCAGTCACAGGTGTGGTTAACAGGAGAAATAACAATCAACCATTAAAGGACAGTGCTTTATTGAAATGTTTATGCGATTACTTAATGGTCTCTTATGTCAGATAATGAAAACCAGGGTGTATGATTTGGAGCAAGGTTTAAAGAAATGGGAACTATCAAAATATAACTTCTTTCCTTCTAAACTTCCAACTTCAGTAGCTTTCAAAGATTTCTTAATCAGCTCGTGGCTTTCATTTGCCCTGGTGCACCCTCAGCCTTCTTTAATTCGTGATACTTTGGCTCCCAGAAGCCTCTGTCCTCATCCCAGCTGCTGTGGCTCAGCAGTTGGAGCCTGCTCCGTCAGCCTGCTCACGGAAGGCTCTGGGGTTCGATGCCCGGTCAAGAGCACATACCTGGGTTCAATACCCGGCCCTAGTCAGGGCACATGTTGGAGGCAACCCGTCGATGTGTCTCTCTCCCCCTCCTTCCACTCCCTCTAAAAATTAATTGAAAAAATACCCTTGGGTGAGGATTAACAAAAAAGGGGAAAAAGCCTCCATCCTCATTCCTGCAGGTCTGGACGTGCCACATCAGCGGTTGAAAGACGTGGCTCACGTGGCAGCAGGTGTGGTGAGTTTGGTGTTGTTTCCAGCACCTTGGCTGTTATCTCTGATGATACTTCTAAACTTCAGCATTTTATACACTGTTATGAATTTTGAAGTCCGGAAGATAGCAAAATTTGGCTATAAAAATAATAGACTTCAGGCAAGAAATGATGATGATAATAAAATCGGAAATGCCGGTGGGCCTCTTGTACCCGAGGCTGTTGATGCTCACGGCTGTAGAATGCGTTGTTGTAATATTGTCAGGGGCGGGGCGAACTCTTAAAATAGTTTGGTAGAAAGAATTCCAGTGCATACTTTATAGCTCTGCTTCTCAACACAGTGCTTGATTAAAATCACCTGATATATTCAATGAACGTGCGGATTCTTGGGACCCGCCCTCAAAGAGTCTGGTTTGGTAGGTCTTGGGTGAGATCTGTGAATTCACATGTTCGATAAGCCCCCAAAGGTGATTTATACTTGCACTACAGTTTGAGGGCCATTGTTTTATATTTGGGTGTAATTTTTACTTAAGCAATTGAAACAGTGAAAATGGTTTAAATAATGGTGACTAGAACTTCTTCTTCTTCTTTATTTATCACCATTTATCTCCCCTGTACCCTTTTGCATCTCCACCCCGCCACCTGGAACTTCTAACATGCAAGTGCCCTCCCTCCCCCAAAGCTTCCTCATTAATTGGTAAGTAGCAGTCAAGTAAGATAGGTTGGATGCCTGGCATGAATTCGAAGAAAAGAGGTACTTTTAGTGGGAGCTTGATAGGGTGAGCTCTAGAATACGCCCAGGTGTTCTGTTTGATTAGGAATATAAGCATTCGCCTGCACTTGACATCTTGGTTCTGCTTTCCTTAGTGTTTGATTAGATAGGCTTCCGTACCCTGCCAGCTGGGACTCTGCTCTTCCTGATTATTGTCTGTATCTATGTCTTTCTTCTTTGTGCAACTCTCTGTCTCTGAAATTTTCTCTCTCTTGGTCTCTGTCTTGCTAAATGTTTTCTTATTTTCAAGGAAAGCTGAAGCAGTCTTAACCTCCGACCCTTTCCCTTCACGATGAGAGAGAGAGAGACCAGAGCCACGTTCACATGGACACAGCCGTTTCAGGAGGCGTCTTGCTGAGCACAGACTTCCACGGCAGGGCGAGGGCATTTATGCAATCACAGGTGTAGCGTTTCTCCCCAACCTCACTCCCACTGTGGATGAAACAATTGAATAATTGTGATCTCTCGCCAGCCGTACAAGAAACGATTGTACAGTTGCACAATCCCATGGGCACTCAGTCTGTCCGGAGGGTTGTCAGGCATCCGCCAGGACTGGCGCAGGGAGAGGACTCAGAGGCAGATTATTTGGTTGGTTTGGCTCCTTCTCAGGGAAGCTGGAGTTCAGCCTAGGTATTTATCCCAACCGATCACACCCGACCTGTGCTGAGTCCTGCCTCCCTCTTCCTGTTAACTCTTTCCAGACCTACTCTGGTCAAAGACATCACTCACCTATGACTTAGGAAGGTTTTGTTCTTCCTTTTCATTAAGGATGATGTCCTCCACATCCCTTCTATGAAGTTAAGGTACGACGTTTTCTGTAGATTAAGTTTAGAGAAACTACATGAGCTCACAATTGATCTCTGGTCTATGAACTGGGGAAAAGAGAGAACTGCAGTCACATATTTGCAGATCTGATAAAGCAGAAGAAAAGCGTCCTAACCTCTCTTGAGTTCTCATTACCATCTGTGGGCGCAGCTAAGTGTCCTGAGCCCAGGTAGGAGGTAATATGTGCCTAAGGTAGGTAGGTAGGTCTCTTCAGAGGTCGTCACATGTTCTATTTATTTGCATGGATTTGTTTTTTAATATAGAAGAAAAATAATTTTTTCCCCAAGCTGTGCACTTCCTGTGGTTACTTGTAATATGTGTTTATTGGCAGAACACAGTGTACCGTGGATGCTAAATCAAAGTCCATTATAACTGAATATGTTACATAGTTCTCCCTATATTCCTTGATCATGTCGCTCATCTTTAGTAACAACATTGGAGCTGCTGGAACCACAGCCGTTGTCAGGACCACTTAGGGGGAGATGACGTCTTTCCTACCGCCTGACCAAAAATACGACCTTGAGAACAAGCATGATAAAATGACTTTTCCCCCTCATTCAAGGAAACAACTTGCAGTAAACGTCTAAGTGTACATATGCTGAGGATTTGAAGTGACACAAAAAGCCACCCAGTAAGTGCAGGGAGAAGTGATAAGAATTAAGGACCTCTTTGTGTTCAAGCCTAATTGTACTTTTTTTTTTTTGCTTAGTACATTTATTCATTCAATTCATTCAGCAAGAATATTTCTTCGTTTCCTATGGCTGCTGTAACCAAATAACACTAACTTGTTGACTTAAAACAACCCGCATCTATTACCTTGTAGCTGTGGAGTCAGAAGTGGGAGCTAAAGGTGTCGGCAGGTGGTCCGCATGCCTTCGCAGGTTCTGAGCGAGAACCAGAACCCCTTCCTCGCCTTTTCCAGCCTCTGGGGGCCGCCTGCACTCCTGGGCTCCCGCCCCTTCCTTGTACCCCTCCAGGCTCTGCTTCGGCTGTCACATCTTCTGCCTTCGACTGTTTTGCCTTTCTCTTCTGAGGACCCTGCAGTTACACCGGGCCCACCTCTATGCCCCAGAGTAAATGCCCTCGGTTAAAAGCAGCTGATAAGCAACCCGATTCCACCTGCAATCTTAAGTCCCCGCCGCCCTGTAAACTACCCTATGTACAGGCTCTGGGGAGTGGGAGGTGGGCGTCTCGGGGGGTCGGGGTATTCTTTAGCCTGCCGCAAGTACCCCTGTACGCCGGGTGGTTCCCCTTTGCTCTTATCATGCACAGCTGGAGACCTGTGTTCTCCATTGTTCTACTTGAGGGACATAAGCAATTGCTCATATCGAATAGCCACATCTTCATACCATCTGCTCATGCATGTCAGCTAAATGTAAAGTACCCACCGCCTGATGCCACCACTGGCTTCAAGAGAAGTATTCCCATGCGGGGCAGTGTCAAGCTTCCTATGACATAGCCAGGATGGCCCCTCATTATCGAGTGACGCCTTTTTCTTACTGCAGTTCTCTCTCCTATCACAAGTTAAGTAATACTGATGACATAAAAGCTGACCTTTGCCCTGGCCGGTGTGGCTCAGCTGATTAAGCGCCATCCCGTACACCAAAAGATCACCGGTTAGATTCCTGGTCAGGGCACATGCCCAGGTTGCGAGTTCAATCCCCTGTTGGGGGCTGTGCGGGAGGCAACCAATGAATGTTTCTCTCTTACATCGATGTTTTTCTCTCTCCCTTTTCCTTCCTCTATAAAAACAATAAAAAACAAAACAAACATAAAAGCTGCCCTTTGTTGGCCTCATTCATTTGTATAAGGAGGGGAAATGGGGAATTTATCTCACCTGGGACACCTTGGCAAGTCAGAGGATGCACTCCTGACAGTTATTCAGGAACAGCAGGTATGCAACAGGACTGTCCTGAACACCAGGCCATAGGTCTCCCTGTACACTGGGTCCAGAGAAATAACAGCCACACGTGCTGTGCTGTGATAACCTATTGAGTATCCCGTAGGTTCCGCGCACTGTAGTAGAAACTTTACCGCATTTAATTCTTACAACAGTCTTATAGGAGGTATTATTGTTGTTATTCTTAATCATGCCTGTTTTAGAGTTGAGGAAAAGCTCAGAAATGCAAATACCTGTAGCTTAAGGTAGTAAATTGCCGAGTTAGGATTTAAACCCAATTTTATAAAGTGCTTTTTCCATTACCTTGCCTTCCAGAAAAAAGTGTAGTTTCTTAGAAAACACTGAATGGCAGTTGTCAGCTGGATATGGTTGGGTGGGTATTCAAAAACAATTTTTTTTTCTTTATTGATTTTACAGAGAGAGGAAGGGAGAGGGCGAGAGAGAGAAACATTGATGAGAGAGAACATCAATTGGTCGCCTCCTGCGTGCCCCCCGCTGGGCACGTGCCCTGACCAGGAATCGAACCCATGACCTCTTGGTGCATGGGTCGACACTCAACCACTGAGTCACACCGGCTGGGCCGTGGCTGGGCATTTTAAGAATGACGTGACCTGGGAGACCTACACGATGTCTTATTGGAGGTCTGGGAAAACCAAGAGCCATCACAGATGCCTTTCCTTTGTCTTGCCCTCAGGTCTGTCAGTTTGTCGTGTCTGTCAATGGGCTCAACGTGCTGCATGTAGACTACCGGACCGTGAGCAACCTGATTCTCACGGGCCCACGGACCATTGTCATGGAAGTCATGGAGGAGCTAGAGTGCTGAGCGGTGGCCCTCCCGGCGCTCCCAGTGGCCTGTGGGCGAACGAAGCCAAAACAACACGAAGCAATGCAATGACAAGACTTCCACGTGCGTGGACGGCTTTGGACACGCAGATCTTTTCCCCAACAGACACATCTGAATTTGCATTTCACACACTGTTTGGATGGGGAAGAACCGGGTAATACATCTTACAAACAATGTATATCAGTGTAAAAAAATATTCGGGACGCAGAATTTTCTTAGTGGGTAGAATTGCTTTCCTCGATTTCTGTTTGTAGTTCTCATCCACTGTTTCTTACCTTAATTCGCAGAATGCTGTTGAAACGCTTCTCTAGCCCAAACAGCAGCCTGCTCAAATCTCCTGCGCAGGAGTCAGTAGAGGAGTTTTTACAGATTTTAAACTGTATTCTCACCAAAATGAGCACGGAACTGTTTACTGGAGAATCTAGATTTCACCGAGCTCCAAGTTAAAGCAACAGGCAAAGGATTAGTACCTGTTAAGTAGCATTTTGAAGGAGGTTCCAAAGCTATTTTTTTAAAAAGGCTTTTTCTTAATTCTCGCCTTTCTTTATCAACTTGTAACTTAACATCTGTGTGCATCTATGGCACTGGTTAAAAACTGGGTGACTGGCAGGGAAATACAACGTCAGCGTGTTTGCTGTGTTTCCTCTGAGCCTAAATCATTTTATTGTACCAGCCCCGGCAGCTTTCTGGAGTTATTGCGGAATGTGTTGAGTGTCAAAACAGAGACGTTTGTATATACACCTCTAATTAAGAATCAGGCCTTGGCAAGACTTCACTGTGAGCTTGTTCGTTTTTAAGTGAAGTTTTCTAGAACTTGGCCCATATGTGATAAAACTTGAAACTAAATTGCCTTATTGGCCTGAATTTTTACTAGCTTTCTAGTAGAAGGTATTCTAAGGACATGACGTGCTGCCTACTTGGCGGGGTTATTTTTCACCAACAGCAAGTCTTGTGCTGTAACTTTTCAGCTCACTTGTATATATGCATGTTTCTTTCTTTCTTTTTGGTCTAGAAAAGAATGCATTTGGGGGCTTGATGTGTAGAGGAAATTCCTCAAAGTGCCAAAATCAGGAGGGGCAGGGAATGCTGAATTCTTCATTTCATACAATGCATTCTGAACAATGAGGTTGCTTTCCTATTATGTAGTAACAAAGTAAAATATGAATGATGTACCTCAGCCATTATTTTGTGACAGGTTATCATAATGTATTGGTACTGGTGGAATTGACATACCATGTTCAAAGTGTTCAATGTATATGTTTCTGGTAATTGAACTTTTCTGATCTGTAGCTTTAGTCAGGAGTAGGATTTCGAAGTAAGATAGAATGGCTAATGTTAATGCTGTGGACCCCTGTTTGAGAATATCATCACCTGCGTATGTATGATCGTCTGTGCGTCTATACTGTACGCCTGTCCCTGCCACTGCTCCTAACAAGTGTGACCTCTTTCCGACACTGCACAGTAGGTCTTAACGTCCTCACTTTGGTTGTGGAAACTAAGTCTGAACAAGTTTAAAAGTGGTCTCTGAGTTACCCCAGCTGCAAAAATTACTAAATGATAGTAGCCTGGATTCAAACACGAGTTTATTTAATGTGAAAACCCGTGTTACCACCCCCGGCCTTTCACACTGTAGGGACCATGCAGAGGTTAGTCTCGTGCCCAAGGTCACACAACCAGGAAGTTTTAGAATAATTGCATAACATCTGTAAAAGAGGAGTCTCAAGTGCTTTCTGTCCCCAGGTATTCATTAGTTGACAAGAGAAGGACCGCCTTTGGGTTTATTCTTGTGTATGGTGCAAGTTAGTGATCTAGCTTCATTTTTCAGCACAGAGCTATCCAATTGTCCCAACACCATTTATTGAAGAGGCTGTCTTCACTCCACTGGATGCTCTTGTCACCTTTGTCAAATATTAATTGAGCATAATGACTTGGGTCAATTTCTGGGTTCTCTGTTATGTTCCATTGATCTCTCTGTCTGTTCTTGTGCCAGTACCGGATGGTTTTGATTACAGTGGCTTTGTAGTATGACCTGATTGTGATCCCTCCTACTTTGTTCTTCTTTTTCAAGATTGCTGTGGCTATTCAGGGTGTTTTTTGGTTCCATATAAACTTTTGTTCTAGTTCTTTGAAATATGTGGTTGGTATTTTGATGCAGATTGCACTGAATCTATAGATTGTTTTAGGTAAGGACCACCTTTTGGGAAATGGCATCTTCTTCTTCCTGCTATTTGTAAATTTTACTCATTTCCGAATGCCCATCATCTTGCACCCTGGCACAACATCACTTCCCTTCAGCCAGTCTAAGCACCAGGGAGGTAAGTGTTGGTCTTTATTTGCTCCACACTGCCTCCTGCCTGCAGAATGTATTTGGTTCAGAGTGTCCTTGACGTCTTTGGTCATAAGGATACCAATGCAAAGGCAGGAAGGGAGGGAGGGAGGGAGGGAGGGAGGGAGGGAGGGAGGAACTGTTTTCTCCTTTAGCTCTTATCACTCTGTGTTTAAAGGCCAAATGCTAGAAAATTCTACTTAAGGCCAAGAGAGCTTCACCTTAGCTACCCCTCCAGCCCACCTGTGACATGCTCACAGTGTCATTAAAGTGAGTGCTCCCACTCCTCTAGGGGGCTCTCTAGCTCCCTCCAGCAGTTTCTCTTCTCTGGAATATCTTTCTTTGCCTGGAAAAATGTCTCATTAACTCTCATTAGATAGTGTCTCCTCTGAGAAACCATTGCCAGCTCCCTAGTTTTGGGATTAACGTCCATGGACCCTATGTACCGACCCCCTGTGGTTCCAGCCCTGATGACATTTACTTTGAAATTGTCCCATTACATGTCTGTCTCCCTAACTACACTTGGCTTCTGCAGAAAAGGGGCTGTGTCTTGTCACCTAGGTATTCCCTTGATCTAGCCCAGTCCTGGCACAGAGTAATGTGGCCGCTATTTATTGCTGTCCACTGAACCACCCTAAACATGCCTTATCACACTATTTATTTGCTCGTGATCCTATGGGTTGGCCAGTCACTGCTCCCTGCGGTACTGGTTGGGTTTACACAAACATTTGTCGTCAGGGAATAGTTGATAGGTGCTGGCTGGTCTTGGATGACTTCATGCATGTGTCTCGCAGTTGGTGGGGCTGTGGGCTGGGGTGCCTCAGCTCCACTCCCTGTGGCTTTCCCCATAGCTAGCCCAGATTTCCTCACTAGGCCTCATGAGGTCAAAGAGGGTCAGAATGGAAACTGCCTGACCTTTCGTGGACTTGCTTGGAAGTCACACAGTGTCACTTGAATAGCATTCATTTATATAAAAGAAGTCACAAAGCTAGCCCAGAATCAAGAGATAGAGCAATAGCCTCTGCCTTTTGATGGGAGGAGCTGCAAAAATTTTACTCCACTAAGAGTAGGTACTCATTGTTTTTTGAATAAAGGACCAAGAAGTTGCCTAGTTATTGAACAACCTCAACTCTCCAGATGCAAATGGCTGACCAGCCTCTGGGTAGAAATATGCTATCAAGTTGTGAATAAAGCCCAGAGCCTGATGAAAATTTCAAAGTCAGAAAATGCTTAAATGACTTCCTGTCTTGTTGATGAGGAAACAGGTGTGCAGTCGTCAAGTGACATGTCCAAAATCATGATGCTTGTTGGGTCCAGTGCCCAGGTCAAACGCCAGTCTCCTGCCCCCAATCCTGTGACCTTCCCAGGCTAGTGTCCTGCAGTATGGGTGATCTGGTGAAACAGGCCTTTGGCTCCATGGTACTTATAAAGTGCAAATAGTGCCATGTACCCGTGCAGGCGAAGGGTATACATTTTCATTGACTCAGGTTGTTAAATCATATCATTAAAAAAATTAAATATTTTGTGTGGTATGTTGACAGTAGAATTGCTTTAACGTTTCGAAACTCTGTCCCTAAATGAAACACCAAGAATTATTCCTAATTAACAGTAAGCAGTATTTCTGAGAACTTATATTTCAATGTATGTGTGTAGCAGTGTGAGGTTTCACTCACTGAGAATCTCTGAAATCGCTTTCTTCCTTCCCAGAGAAAACTCCTGATTTTTCAGGTGTTTATGTAATGCGTTTATGTTTTGGGGATGGAGCTTGAAGTAGTTTTTTGTTTCTTCATTAGCACTGTATGTGCTCTTAGTGCAAATCCAAAAGCTATGTTTGTTCATTCTGTTGTGGAGAGAAAAATGCAGTTGCCTTTTGGCTTGATTCAGTTGTCTGATGTTTTATTATTAATCTCTGTTAAATAATCCTGTCAATTGGTCAGGAGACTGATAGAGAAATGAGGGGTAACATGAAGAAGATATCCATGTTTGAGTAGATTAGATGAGATCAGCTTCACACCATCTTAACTTCACACCATCTTAAAGGTGAATGTGTTGGAGTGCAATGAATAATTTAAAAATCACTGCTTTCCCTTTAAAGTGGATTCTCACATTTTCAGATACTCATTCCTTTTAAATGTGCTGTGAAAATAATCTACGTTCAGAGCCTATTTTAAACTGATGATATTAACTGTTCTCTCCTGTTGAGTATTAATCCCATTTCATTTTGTTCATAAATGATCAGAATAACTCTTTTCAGTTTTTCTGATTGATTGGAGTCTACTGATATCATTGACCACAGTTTTATTCATCTGAGGTAGAATTTCAGGTATAATATGTATTTCCTCAGTTCAATACCAAAAGGACAAATCTGCAGGGTACCAAAATGAAGGTCATCATCAAAGTGAGCACATGGCATTGTTAAATGCATTACTATATGTACTTAATATATATGCTTATTTTAAAGTTAGATTGAAATTTATGTTCTCATTTTATCAAAAATTATAGCATAATACTTAAAATTATAAGGCGAAAATAGATAGTATAGCATGAAATAAATGTTAAATTTTTAAAACAGTGACTTTAGGCTTTCACTTTTCTTGTCTTTTAGAACAAATTAGCTATTTTTTATTCAAAGAATGGGTTGCATTATAAAACTGATCTACTACTCTCCTATCAGAAAAGAACACACGGGACTCATCTCCAATTCTCTAATGTAGCCAAAAGTGCCATTTGTAAAACTACTTAATGATGGATGTTTTCTGAAGCTCTTTTGCCTGGAAAAAAAAAAAAAAAAGTGCATTAAAAAGCTTTTTCTGTACTGTATTTGAGTTGAAATCATTTTGTCCCTACACAGCCTAGTATTGATGAGTGTTGTGAAGTAGTCTATATGGAAAATGCTATATGTGTTTTTACTACTCTTGAAGCATGTCAGTATTTTTTACTTTCAACTAATTAGGAAATCAGTTACATAGTTCATTTTGTCTAGGGGGCAGGGTACAGTCTGGGGTGAGTGGTTACTCAGATTACATGCAATATTAACCAAAAGAATTTGACATTTTCTTATATTTATTCACTTATCTTTTCATTCAAGAAACCTCACTGAGGATCTGTGTTTTGCTAGACACTGCACACAGGCCCGGGGAATACAAAACTGAGTGGACGTGACCCTGGGTCCAGCTTATGCTGTAAGAGTCACCTTTGAGTCTACCTCCTACAATTCTCTCCATGCAGAGGGAGGAATATGAAATAATGGTGTTGAAGGAGGTGGTTTAATGCCAGAAACTACCCAAGAACCACAATACTGACAACAACTTCTATTTAACTGTTTTCTCCTTCCCATCCTTCCCCCACTCGCCATTACACAAGGTAACCACAGTGAAGAATGTTGAATTGACCATTTTCTTGCTCTTTTTGTTTTTAATAATTGTTGAGGGGTTTTAAAATAAACATTCTTAAAAGAGCATCAAATGTTATGTAATCTTCTGGGACTTGCTTTTTAAATTCAGGATTATATTACTAAGATTCTTCTAGATTTTTGTGTGTAGTTGGAATTATTCATTTATCGAGGCCTCAAAAGTTTCTAGAGGACACATTTCCTTTGTCTATTTTCTTGTCATGAGACATTTCAGTTACTTCATGAACAATCTTGCACCATCTCCTGGGAACAAGGGGAGAAGCTCCTCATAAGTATCACTTAGGAGAGAATCGCTGAGTCCTGGGAATGGGACTGCTAACTTTACAAGGTCTTTTCTAATACATGACATTCTGAGATTTCTTAATTTTGGTCAAATAAATGTCTGTTTGGTCAATGACACTGAGAGTTCTAATTTTCTGCAAAGCTCATAAAACTTAAAGCACAAAAAATGTAAGAAGTAGTTTGTAATCCTAACCTACTACATCAATACTTTCATGATGCCAAGTATATTTTGAAACTCTCCTACAACTTTGTGATTCCAATGAGGAAAGGCTTCTTGGAAGTCAGTATAACATATTCAAGAATATCCAAAAAATAATGTATTAAGTACCTACTATGGGCCTGTCACTGAGTCTTTGGCAAACAGCAGTAAATAAGACAGGTCACTGACCTTATGAAGTTTATATATTCTTGGGGGACACAGACAATAAATAAGTTATATAAATAAAACAGTGCATTTTAGATAGGGTAAGTGCTAAGAAGTAAAATGAAACCAGATGGGAAGATAGAAAACTGAGTTGCCACATTACTCAATTCCTATGAGGCACCATTTCCATTACATTCTATGTGAACAGCGCCCCCTGGAGTTATGCAGTGCAACAGCCCTGAGGAAAAACAATACACCTCTGCAGACCTGATGTGAGCAGTTAATACCTAACAAATGAGATTGAGCCAGCCTTAGAGAAATCTGAAAGAAGAGTATTATAGCAGAGGGAACACTAAGTCTAAAGATACTGAGGCTGAAAAGGTCATAGGGGTTAAGAGCATGGGCTTTGGAGACATACCGACCTGGATTCAGATGCCAGCTCCAGCACTTAGGGTACATCCAG